TTTAATTAATAAATAATCAGAAATTAATTAGAATTAAATTTTGGGACTAATTAAAAGTGCAGGAGCTGTTTGACAATTTATTGATAGTTGAAGGAAGAGGCTCTAGAACCTCCCTATAAGAGGTTGGACGAAAACTTCTAGGAAGGGCCTAGAATTTTCGTCCAAGGACTCTTGGATTGGGGTTCATGAGTTGCTTGGTCACCAAGCTAAGGGATTGGTTTCCTCCTTAAACTATAGCTTTGGCTCTAAGCTACCTCACCTATATAAAGGGCCTCAAGCCTCTCAATTTCGGCCACTCATGCCTAATCCAAGAGAAGGCCGAAAATTACCCTACCTCCTTTCTCCTCAACATCCTTCTTGCTAGCTTGGGTGTTAACCACTAGAGGCACGACAGTTGTTGTGCTTGCTTCGAAAGGATCAAAAGGTATGTTTTCTTTCTTTGCTTCTAATTTACGAAAATACCTAGGTATCCTTAGGGTACTTATTTGATGTTAAAAATTGTATTTTAAATTAGAGAAAACATAGATCCATTAGGGTTGCATGCACACATAGGATTTTATTTGTTTTGCATAAAACCCATCAGTTCCTATGCTTGTCTTCCTTTCTTCTCATCCAACCTTTTCGTTAGATTGTTGACTGTGATCTTATTGCTGGATTCAACTTGGCCGTTAGCTTGAGGGTGAACCAGAGTGGACATTATCATTTTAATCCCCCAACTAGTGCAAAAGTCTCTAGTCCTTTTGCTTATGAACTGGGATCCATTATCACATATGATCTCTGAAGGGATCCCGAACCTAGTCAGGATATTACGCTTGATAAACAAGACCACTTCCTTCTCATACTTGAGCAAAGGCTTCAGCTTCTATCCATTTCGAGAAGTAGTCAGTCATTACCAGCATGAAGAGTTTCCCCCCCCCCCCCCCCGGTACCTTAGGTAGCTTTTCTACTATATCCATCCCCACTTCATGAATAGCAAAGGGGAAATGATGGGATATGTTACCTACAGAATAGCTACGGAAAGGGTTTTCCATCATAATTCGGTCACCAATCCGTAGGTAGTTACCTACGGATTAGCTACATATTTTTCTTATTTTCGTATTTTCGGGCACCGAACATCGTTTTTTCAGCTTCGTTTTTTTCACACCTCTATTATACATTAATATCTATAGTTTCACCAACTTATAAATATTAATATCGTTCATAAAGTCGTATGCAGCTTCGGGATCCATTACTCGTTTCATGGTTTCAGATTGTAATGCTTACACATTCACTAACAAGCTACTTTGTTTCTTTTAAATACATAGACATACACATACACACATACATACACATACACATACACACATAAACATACACATATACATTAAAATACACACGTACGCATACATATACATACACAAACACATGCATACACATACACATACGTACATAAACAAACACACACACACACACACACACATATATATATATATATATACATACAAACAAACACATACATACACATACCCATACACACATAAATACATACATACACATACACATAAGCACATACACATACATACATACACATACAAATATACATATTTCCCATAATTATCATCATTTTTCATTATTTATACATTAAAAGTAGATTATTTCATCTTATTAATGTCTTAAATGTAGTTTTTTTTTTCATTTGTTTGTTTGTGTGTTAAACACATTTGTTATCATTATTATATATTATCGTTATGTTTATAAATATTATTAGTATTAGTTATGATTTTTAATTGTTTGTGTTTTAAATATGTAAAAAGAACGATAAAAAAAGTTTTAAGACTCGAATAAAGAAAAATAATAATAATGGGAATAATAATAATAATAATAATAATAATAATAATAATAGAAATTATAAACTTGTCAGTATTTCGTAGCTATTATGTAGCTAATCTCCTGTGTTGGTAGTCCGTAGCTACTCCGTAGCTAATTACCTACGAAATAACTACAAATTTACGTCTGTCGCTATTCCGTAGCTAACTTGTGACAGATACCTACGGATTTACTTCTGTTGCTAAATTATGTAGTTATTCTGTTATTAAATTATGGCATCTCATTCGGTAGATATTCTGTCGGTATCCGTAGTTATTTTTGGTAGCTAAACCATAGGTTTTCTAGTAGTGAGCGTACTTATATATTTTGCAATGTTTTTCCCAACTGATTGATGTTTTGATGTTTTTTCGAGGTTTTGAGAAAGAAGGGAGATTATGACTCTTTTCTTAGTTTATTATTTTTGTCTAACCCCGATGTTAGTGACTAGGCTTTAAATTTCTATCTACTATTTTGATATTTGCTTGACATTTGCTTAGGAGCCTAGCAGCTTTGGAGATAAAAGAGTTTGAGGACATTTAGAATATTGTGATCATGTTGGAAATAGTTAAATAATGTTGCTATGTATTGTCTCTTATATTGATTGTGATGTTATCATATACTTCTTTTGACAAATTAATCTGTCGTTAAAAAAATTGGTGTTAGGGGGATGTTTTCCACACAAATTATTCTTCAAATTGGCTACTTTAAAAACTGAGTGAAATGGCCTATACTAGGGGTCTTTCACTCGATCAATACAAGTTTTGGCAAATTTGGAGAGATTTTATCGATATACGCTCCCAACATCAATAATATTAACATCCCACCATGCCCCGATTTTAATCAAGAGCTTCTTGGCAACATCACAATTAATGGGAAGATAGGTAACAAATTCACTTTGGTTGGCAGAGAAAGGGCCACGGTTCACAATTATTAATGTAGGTAGTCGACGGAGTTCAACTCTCGAAATCTGAACATCGACATTCCCAGTGATCTATAATCTATTTTTCCATTTCTTTTTCTTGCCTGGACTTTTAACTAACCTTTTCAGGAGCGAACCAAACGAAATGAGGCACTTGTATACAAACTTTAACAGTGGATAATTCTCAAACTGTAAATGTAAAGAGTCTATCCAGTTTTTTTTTTTTTAATATATTAGTAAATTATAAAATTGAAGAAAAGGAAACAAGAATTTATAAATAGACAAAACTGCAAAAATGGTCCCTGTGGTTTTTCATTTTATGTGGCTACGGTCCAAACGTTTGAAAAGTTGCAGATTTGGTCCTTTTCAACAAGTTTTGTTGTGGTTTTAGTCCCTCATCCGTTAACTTCCCTAAAATGACAATTTTAACCCCAGGGACCATTTTCGCAGTTTTGACTTTTACTATACTATAAGGACCATTTTTGCATACATTCTTTTTTATTTGACAAAACTGCAAAAATGGTCCCTGTGGTTTTTCATTTTATGTGGCTACGGTCCAAACGTTTGAAAAGTTGCAGATTTGGTCCTTTTCAACAAGTTTTGTTGTGGTTTTAGTCCCTCGTCCGTTAACTTCCCTAAAATGACAATTTTAACCCCAGGGACCATTTTCGCAGTTTTGACTTTTACTATACTATAAGGACCATTTTTGCATACATTCTTTTTTAATTTAATGAAGTATTATATATTAATAGATATTATTTTTAATATATAATATTATATATTAATAAATATTTTTTATTGGATTATTAATTTATTTTAGTTGATTTTTTAAAAAAAATTGTTGGAGTAAGTCTTTTTTATTGAATTATTATATATCAATACATATAGTTTTTAATATATAATATTTATATCATAATAAATATTATATTATTGGAATATCAAATTTTTAGTTAATTTTTGTAATTTTTAATTATTTTTTATTGTATTATTACTTTTAATTTATTATTTTCTTCATATATTAAATGTTGTTTTATTGTATTATTAATTTATTTTAGTTATTTATATATTTTTTAATTTTTTTGTCGGAGTAATTTTTTATTGAATTATTATATATCAGTACATATAGTTTTTAATATATAATATTTATATCATAATAAATATTATATTATGCGATTATTATATATTACAAAACATTATTTTATTGGATTATTAATTTCTTTTAGTTGATTCTTTTTATAATTTCTTTTTTGTTGGAGCAATTTTTTTTATTAGATTATTATGGTGGTATTTTCCCTATGGTGGTATTTTCCCTATGGTTTCTCATTATAAGCTAGATTAAATGAAAGTGTTTGGCAGCGATCCTAACGATTTCGATGATGAGAGACGACGGTTTTGCGTATCCCATGACTTTGTGGTGGAACCAATAAAATTAACAAGAACTATTATTATAATTAAAAATAAATTAATAATCCAACAAAATAATATTTAGTATATGAAGAAAATAATAAATTAAAAGTAATAATCCATAAAAATAGTTTAAAAACGAAATTACAAAATTAACTAAAAGATAATAATAATCCAATAATATAATATTTATTATTATATAAATATTATATATTAAAAACTATATTTATTGATATATAATAATTCAATAAAAAATAATTACTTCGACAATTGTTTTTAAAAAAAAAGAATTAACTAAAATAAATTAATAATCCAATAAAACAATATTTAGTATATGAAGAAAATAATAATTAAATAATCCAATAAAATAATTTAAAATAAAAAGAATTAAAAATATTAACTAAAAGAAATTAATAATCTAATAATATATTTATTATGATATAAATATTATATATTAAAAACTATATGTATTGATATATAATAACTCAATAAAAAGAATTACTCTAACAAAAAAAAATTAAAAAAAAATCAACTATAATAAATTAATAATCCAATAAAACAATATTTATTAATATATAATATTATATAATAAAAATAATAGTTATTAATATATAATACTTCAATAAAATAAAAAAGAATGTATGCAAAAATGGTCCTTATGGTATGGTAAAAGTCAAAACTGCGAAAATGGTCCCTGAGGGTAAAATTGTCATTTTAAAAAAATTAACAGCCAACCAGTTAAACTTAACGGATGAGGGACCAAAACCACAATAAAACTTGTTGAAAAGGACCAAAATAAGGCTTCCAATCATGCTACCCACGTCGATATCCCATGATTACATACAACCATACACATCTCTATCCTCACCCCTACCTCTGCCCTTGCCCTTACCCCAACCCCACCCCACTCCACCCAACCTCCATTTTCATCTTCATCTCCCTTTCATTAGCATACATCAACCCCTTACACATCATGTCTCCTTCAATTCCCACCATCAACATGTCCGACATCCAGTCTCCAACATCTTCTTTCAAAGTTCAGTTGGTCTCAAGATCTGTATCCGAGAGGCTTCTTGTGAAATTTGCAGATGTATCGGAATTCGGATTTGATTACTCCCAAAGCAGCCTCTGGTCTCCTCCACTTCACCGGACTGTGTTCCTTAGTTCACCTGGGGAAATTTTGACACCAGATGAAATGCTGCAGAAGTTAGAATCTATGGGAAGACACCGGAGAAGATACACATATTGTCTCAACGTATGATATATATACATGCTGGGTAATTAACTTTTTGATATTTTCATGCTTAAAGATGGTAAAGATTCGTTGATACCATGAACATGTTTGTATTTTGCAGGCACTTTTGTGCTCTCCTAAAAGATGAACTGCGTTGCACTTGCATTATTATAACCAAATAGTTCTTATGTGGATTATTATTTTATGTTTTAATTTTATATTTCTGGGCAAAAAAAGAAGGTTTTGCTACGATTGTAAATGTTAGATTAAACATTATATGTAATTTTTCATTATATTTCACATGTTTGCATGTGATTGTGTTACGTCATCCCACGTGAAATAGGACATTCTCTCATTTTCACAAAAAGGATTATTAAACATAGTTTAAAGACACAGTGTTTTGTAATTTAGTTTACTAATAGTTAGAAATTATTTAAGATATAGATCGATTATAATTTTTCTAGATTGAACAATCTGTACTAACTGAATTCAGGTTAAACATCTACTGTTTTTTGCTATTGACCTCAAGCAAGAAGCATTGTTTTGGGAACAAAATAGAGAGTTCTTTTCGAAGGCTTTTTTTTTCCCAATAAAACCATATATTTTTACTTATTACAGAGATAGTAATTTATTGATTTTATTTTAATAAGAGAGATGTCATTAAAATAATAAAATTTTGACTTTTTCGTGAAATTTAACTGGCCTTACAGATTTGAGATTAGAGCTTGGACCACATTACTACCCTACATTTTATCTGTACGCATTTTATAAAAATAATAAGAGGAAATGAAGATATATAATTCATATAAATATTTTGTTGATTGATTAAATGATAAGATTAGGACTAAAGTTTGAAAAAAAAACATATTTTTTGTTATCATGCAATCTTAGACTGAACCATTTAAAATAATATGTAACTTATATATAATTGTTAGGATAATAGTAGTAAAATGTAGATGCAAGCAGAATATTGATAGGATCGATATTTACGAATGCACATTATCTTAAAGGATAGTTATTGGCCATTGTATTGTTATACGGCGATCACGTTCTATTGACTATCAACAAATTCCACAACTCAACAATATTTCATTTGGAGGCTTTCAAAGGCATGCAACTCTCGTAAACAAAAAACTCTGTGGCATCCTCTATCTCTCTCTAGTTTGACACTTTCTCATCATCAATCAACTTCAATGTCAGTTGAAGTTATGCAAAACTTCAACTATTTTATTGTCACCAACTTAGTAAACATGTTTGTTGAATTTTTCATATAAAGGACTTTCCTTAATAACAACATATCATTACCGATAGGATGATAAACTCTCCGATGAAGTAATATCTCATCTCGAATGTGTTTCATCATACTCTAGACATCAATTCTTCACAAAATAAACCAAATTGTGGTTGTTAAAATAAAGAATACAATCTTTTGGTTTCATATATAACTTTGATTGGAAGTTATATTCAACCAAATAAGATATTTGTTTGTTGTGCAATGGCTATGTATTCTTCTTATGTGCTAGAAAGAGCAACAAACTTCTGAATTTTGTACATCCACCTTATTGATATTCCCTGATGTCTAAAATTATAGCTATCAACTTTTAAATCTATAAACCTAACTAACTTAACTAATTTATGCACCTATAGGCAGTGTACCTAGTCGGATTATAGAATAGCTTTGGTAAGTCGGGTGTCGAACACAACGCATATAATTTCAATTTAGAAAATAAGTACTATTAATTAAACTAAGAAACAAACTTTAAATTGGGGGTTTTACTGACTTTTCCAGATCAGAAGAACTTAAGTCAAACAACTTAACTAAGCAAATTCAATATTAAAAGGTACTTTTGTTAGATCTGAATCCCCCATTTTCCCTATGGTTGATTTCTTAGTTAATTATTATTATTGGTTACCATTTTTTTTTGAAACGGCAAACGAATTAAGTGGAAGCCTACTCGTAATATTTCAACGAGCATCCCGGGTTAGAGCTCATTTACAGGGCAAACCCAGCCCATATAGGGATTTCTAGGGAAAAATTCCCTACATGTGGCACCACAACAGGTAATTTAAGGGAATCGAACTCACAACCTCATGCCCCACATGGGTATAAAATTCGGTGCATCAACCCAGCTAGGCTGGACATCACTTGCTATTGGTTACCAAATGATTAAGAAACTAGTTATTATGATGAAAAATCTAGTCATTACCAATTTATGACTACTATGTTATGGTTAAGCATAAGTAACACGAAATCGATATTATGATGAATTTGGCTATATACGATAAATCCAATAGTTGCTTTCTTATTATAGAGTCAAGCAACCAAGCACAAACTATGGATCAGTAGTGCTCTCTAATACAGTTAAAGTTCATAGCTTTTATTACTTAATAAAGTTCATGCAATTAGATGATCATCTACTACACAAAACTCATATGAAGGAAATCAAAGACTAGAACTAAAACATGTAAAGTTTTGATTTATCAACACTAGAAAAACCAACCATAATTAATCATTAAATCGAAATCAACTCATAGTTCAAACGGTTTATCTTCACCAACAAAACAGGCTCTCATCATAACAGAAACACACACACTAAATCAATGAAAATAATACTAGACATGATTAGAGCTAGCAAACTGAATAGATCGATGTTGTTTTCTTCTAGATCTCTTCAACTATTGAGCTACAATCGATATATGATCTTCCCAATGTTTTCCAAAGGTTTTTTGTGGTAATCGTTCTCCAAAAAATCGGCCAGAAGTCCCTCAGTTCGACCTAATGTTCTAATGTTTATACTTTCCATAATTCTGACTCCCACACCATGGCAAATAGGCTCCACGGCATGGTTCTCTTTTTCCATGCGTCTTCTCTAAGTCAGCTTCAATGGTCGCGAAGATTCCGTTCACCACGGGATGACAGGAATTCCCCATACCGTGGGCTTCACAAATCTTGTTTCTTTCGCCTTCAATTGTCTTAGCCCACATGTCCCTGATTCCAGCTGCTCATTTGCTTCCTTTTCATCCAAAGCATGTCTTCGCTAATACAAAGCATAAATTAAATATATTAAGTACATTTTGTCCTAAATTAAGCACAATTATAGCCAAAAGTATTAGGAATATGTACAAAATACATGATTAAATATGCACATATCATTCCTTAACTACAAAAACATAACTTATAGTGCTCTTACATGAATATGAACAACCATACACATTTTCATCTACAAATGATTCCAATATGGCCCTTTCTCGTCTGAAAGGGGAACCTCAAAGTTTCTTTTCAGTTACCTCAAAGTTTCCTTTCAATTAGCATATCAGCCACTTGAGGGCTTGCCAATGCTCTTTTCTCAGATTTGATATGAACTTAATGACAACTCCTAATGTATGACAATTATCTATCATCATCCCTCGTGCACTCCATAACATACGTCAAATTACCCCCCATTTAAGCACATCGAACGTTAGCCCTCTATACATTGTTATCTATCTGTAGTGATTAACTAATTGTAGGTTTCATGTAACTTCCTTTATATCTTTATCCGTTATGTTGGGTCTAAAATTTGGTTTATACTTTGCTTTTCTAAGCATTTATTGTTTTCGGTCTAGGACCAAAAACCATCTTGGGTTTTGTTGTAGCTTGGACCGAAAACTCATGTGTTTTCGGTCAACCAATTAGGTTTTCGGTTTGGGCTTTGTACTTTGGGTCCATACCTATATATAGGAGCAAGCTAGGAGTGTAGGGATTGGCCATATTGCAAGGGAGCTATCATTGTCCTATGTGTGTGTTCTAGAGAGAGAAAGTTAGAGAGAGAACGTGTGTGTGTTTTGGATCTTGTGTATTGTTCATCATTCAAATCATTGAATACATTGAAGAATCATCAAGTTCTTCTTCCTCTTCTTCTCCATTCTATCTTGTATCATCCACTTGATTGGGATTCCGCACCATTAAGTGGATCGGATTGATACGTCAAGCGAATTTGGGGACTTACAGTTGGTATGTCTCCTTGAACTCTGAATCTGTTGCTTCTAACTCAGTTACTTCTAATCAACCTGCTGTTGGTAAATACAGGCCACCAAAACAAGTCAAACAGACGGCTTGTTACAAGTGTACATGTGGGAACAATCAGATACAAGGCAAGTACACGTCACCAGGGGCAGGCAGAAACAACTCCAACGTGAAGAAAAGGACATGTTTTCACTGTGGAACACCTGGACACATTGCCAGAAATTGTCCAAATCGTGCATATGTTCCCTATTATGCACAAGGATGGTAGAATGCGATAAGAGGGAGATTTTCCAAATGAGACCCTTCGAAGCCACGTTCAAAAAAATGGTGACTGGAATGCCAAGAAGGCCAAGAATCCAACTCCTAATGCCAAGAAAGGAATGTCTGCCAAGAAGCCAAATTCAAGAGATGCTCCAGTGAAACCAAGACCGGTTAGGTCAAAGTCATCTCAGCGATCGGCTTTAAGTTCCAAAGCAAGCGATAAGGCACCCAACCGATCGAACAAGAAATGGGTTAAACTTGACTATAGATGGGTACCAAAAGCTTATACTCCCAAATCATCAAATGATTCTAACATGTCTTCATCTTATGTTTGTGATTAGTAGGATATGTCATGGGAGAGAGTACCTTGCAAAGATGACAAAGGTCAACCCAGTTTCAAAATGGACCGGGTTCCAAAGACCAATTAATCCCGCACTCTGTGCTGGAACAGCTATGGAGCCATATCATCAGACTTCGGTTTGTTGATAGTGGTTGTTCCAAGCACGTGATAGGGGACATTTCTCAACTGTACAACATTCAGAACTATGTTTGAGAGTATGTGTCCTTTGCGGGAAAGGAAGAAAGGAAAGGATCGCAAATAGGGTTTGTACTTAACGATGTAAAGAATTTTCGGATCTGTTCCAAGATTGAAATATGCGTGCTGTTCTCAGATCATCTGGATGCAAATTCAATTGGTGAATTACGGTTTGAGTTTTCTTCTCGATACTCCTGAGTTTTTCTTACAATGATTCGTTTCAAAGACAATTTCTTAAATTTGCGTTTTTGTTTTATTTTCTTTCTTCCTCATGCCCAAATTAAGGGGGAGAAATCAAAATACAAAAAAATTAGAAAACAAAAATCCAAAGAAATATATACTTATGGTTTTTCGTTTGTAGGTACTATTTGGGAAGTGATATGAAGCTTAGTGTTAAAGGGCAATTTGAAATTCGTGTAATGCACTAAAGCCGAATTGTTTAGACTCTA